TATCTCTTCCACTTTCAAATATATTTCTGACCAACAACAACACATTAATTACATATTTACATGATACAATATAAGTTTGAGAAAATTACATCAGAATTTTCCACAGGTACTGTAGACATTACAAAGATCTCCAGTAACCACCAATAATCGGGTAAGTGGTGGTCTTATTGTGTTGATACATGTAACCTCTTCCCTCCTTTTTCTAATCGGTCCAGTTTATACATACAGTCCACAACTAATTTGTAACGCCATGCCTATTGGTGTTATCCAACCTTAATCTATAATACTGGTCTAGGACAGATGTGTCGAAGGTGTTGCTTGCAGTGACAAGGAGTGGCTTAAGTTTTCTCACATGTCTAACGGGGTAACTACTGAGTGTACACAATATATGGTTGTCACCTCCTAATGAGATTATTTGTATGAATGTAAGGACAAAGTTCATACAGGTAAACTTATAAAATTCCCACAATGCCGGTCTCTTGGCTTCTGCTATCACACGTCTGGTCTCGACTTGTGAATAATGACTGACTTAACCAGCATCAACTGATCTTAGTTCGAATTTTGAATCACTGGCTATTATCTCTACTACTGTATTTGACGTATTTCTAACTATCCTAGGTCCTATAACGATGCTATTATCTCCTAAGTTTATTATATACTCTGTGTAACTACTCAAATCTGTCTTCAATGTCATACATTATTTACAAGTGTTATGTTAAGGGCTCCTTATGCCCATATGCCCTATTTACCTGGAGAGAGTTCCGAGGGTCAACGCCCCCGAGGCCCGGTCCGTGACCAGGACTCATGGTGGATCAGGGCCTGATCAACCAGGCTGTTACTGCTGGCTGCACGCAATCCAACGTACGAGCCACAGCCCGGCTGGCCAGGTACCGACTTTAGGCACTTGTCCAGTGCCTGTTTGAAGACAGCCAGGAGTCTATTGGTAATCCCCCTTATGTATGCTGGGAGGCAGTTGAACAGTCTTGGGCCCCTGACACTTACTGTGTTGTCTCTTAACGTGCTAGTGACACCCCTGCTTTTCATTGGGGGGATGCTGCATCGTCTACCGAGTCTTTTGCTTTCGTAGAGAGTGATTCATGTGCAAGTTTGGTACTAGTCCCTCTAAGATTTTCCAGGTGTATATAATCATGTATCTCTCCTGCCTGCATTCCAGGGAGTACAGGTTCAGGAACTTCAAGCGCTCCCAGTAATTGAGGTGTTTTATCTCAGTTACGCGAGCTGTGAAGGTTCTCTGTACATTTTCTAGGTCAGCAATTTCACCTGCCTTGAAAGGTGGTGTTAGTGTGCAGAAATATTCCAGCCTAGATAGAACAAGCGACCTAAAGAGTGTCATCATGGGCTTGGCATCCCTGGCTTTGAAGGTTCTCAATATACATCTTGTCATTTTTCTACCAGATGTGATTGATACAATGTTATGGTCCTTGAAGGCGAGATCCTCTGACATGATCCCTCCCAGGACTTTGACGTTAGTTTTTCGCTCTATTGTGTGGCTGGAATTTGTTTTATACTCGGAAGAAGTTTTAATTTCCTCATGTTTACCATATTGGAGTAATTGAAATTTCTCATCGTTGAACTTCATATTGTTTTTTGCAGCCCATTGAAAGATTTGGTTGATGTCCACCTGGAGCCTTGCAGTGTCTGCAATGGAAGACACTGTCATGCAGATTCGGGTGTCATCTGCTAAGGAAGACACGGTGCTGTGGCTTACATCCTTGTCTATGTCAGGTATGAAGATGAGAAACAAGATGGGAGCTAGTATTGTGCCTTGCAGAACAGAGCTTTCTCACCGTTGCTGCCTCAGACTTTACTCTGTTGACTACTACTCTTTGTGTTCTGTTTGTGAGGAAATTGTAGATCCATCTACCAACTTTTCCTGTTATTCCTTTAGCACGCATTTTGTGCGCTATTACGCCATGGCCACACTTGTCGAAGGCTTTTGCAAAGTCTATGTATATTACATCTGCATTCTTTTTGTCTTTAGTGAGCTCATTACCTTGTACCTAGTTCAGCCATCACAACTTTGGGAGCCCAGTCCCTGGACCCATTACGTACCTCTGTAATCTGTAAATACCTTTGTAACTTGTCATGATTGTGACTAGACCTACCTGGAGTTCATTACCTTTGTAAATTGTGAGTTCATTACCTTTGTAAATTGTGAATTCATTACCTCTGTAACTTGCTCAGCTATCAAAACTTTGGAGTCCAGTCCCTGGACTAATTATGTACCTCTGTAATCTTTTGACTACCGCCCACAGGATGGGTATGGGGTGCATAATAAACATATTAAACTTAACTTTAGTGCATCTAGGACCTTGTCGTAGTGATCCAGTAGTTGGGACAGACAGGAGCGACCTGCTCTAAACCCATGTTGCCCTGGGCTATGTAATTGATGGGTATCTAGATGGGTGGCGATCTTGCTTCTTAGGACCCTTTCAAAGATTTTTATGATATGGGATGTTAGCGCTATCGGTCTGTAGTTCTTTGCTATTGCTTTACTGCCCCCTTTGTGGAGTGGGGCTATGATTTCAAAATAATTTCTACCCCCGGCAAAAAGGTGGAAACATTAAACGTGTTTCCTTACACTGATTGTCTGTGTTCACCTATCAGTAAAATGGATACCTGGGTATTAGTCGACTGGTGTGGGTCGCATCCTGGGACAAAACTGACCTAATTTGCCCGATATCTTCGAAAAATTAATTCATAAACGAATCTACTCCTACCTCATCTCCCATAACATTCTCAACCCCTGCCAATTTGGATTCAGGCCTAATAAAAATACTAATGATGCTATTATACACATGCTAGAACATATATACACTGCAATAGAGAAAAAAGAAGTCCCACTGGGGATCTTCATTGACTTACGTAAAGCTTTTGATACAGTTGACCATGACTTGCTCCACGTAAAATTGTCACACTATGGTATTAGAGGGCACTCCCTCAACTACCTCAAGTCTTACCTCAGCAACAGAAGCCAATATGTGTACGCAAATGGGGCAAGCTCTTCCGCACAACCAATTACAGTTGGTGTCCCACAGGGAAGTGTCCTTGGCCCTCTTCTCTTTCTCCTATACATAAATGACCTACCAAATGCTTTGCAATTACTCAAACCCACACTTTTTGCAGATGACACCACATACGCCTTCTCTCACCCGAGCCCAGTCACGCTAGCCAATACTGTAAACACCGAACTACAGAAAATATCTACCTGGATGAGGACTAACAAACTTACACTAAACATTGACAAAACCTACTTCTTTCAGTTTGGTAACAGAGCTAGAGATGTACCTCTTAACATAACGATAAACGGATCACCTATCACAAAGCTAACAGAGGGAAAATTCTTAGGAATCCACTTCGATAATAGACTCAAATTTTATACACATATACAACAAATTTCTAAGAAAATTTCCAAGACTGTAGGCATACTATCGAAGATACGGTACTATGTTCCACAGTCAGCCCTCCTGGCCCTATATCACTCTCTTATTTACCCCTATCTCACATATGGAATTTGTGCATGGGGCTCAACAACAACTAACCATCTCAGACCACTAATTACCCAACAAAAGGCTGCAGTTAGAATGATAACAAATTCTCACTACAGGCAGCACACTCCACCAATATTCAAAACACTCAACCTACTCACCATACAAAACATCCATACTTATTATTGCACTTATTACATACATAGAACACTTAACTCTGACATAAACCCTCCCCTCAAACATCTCCTTGCCAACCTCAACAGAACACATGACCATAATACAAGGCACAGATCACTCTTTGATGTTCCTCGTGTCCATCTCACGCTATGCAAAAACTCAATGCACATAAAAGGCCCTAAAATCTGGAATTCATTATCTGTAAATATAAAAGAAACACTACCTGTTTATAAATTCAAGTCTCTTCTCAAAGTTCACTTACCCACTCAAAACCAAATAAATACTGAATAACTGAACCATATAAATTGTATATCCTAAATGTTACTCACAATTATATCACACATATGTTAAACCTAACTTTGTTATTTTTTTTAAATACACTACCTAACAGAATACTCCATTCTACTGAATGAACAGCAATGCATGCAACCATATGACCTGTCTTTGTAATACATTTGTATTTTATAGTTATCTGTTTACAATAATGTCTTACCACTGATTTCATCATTGCTTAGTTAATCTTAAGTTAATTTTAAGCCAGCCCGTAATGCTATGCATATAAGTGGCTTTGGCATGCTGCTCTTACCTGTATTTTTTTGTACCTCTGTATGTATGCTAAAATTTCTAAATAAATAAAATAAATAAATAAATAAATAAATAGCAAGCGGATTTGTATATAGTAGTATGTCACTGATGTCAGCTAGGCCTGTATACCATGTACTTGTCCTTGTAGTAAGTAAAAGATTATTACTATTATTATTATTATTATTACGTGGCCCGGTGGTCTGGTGGCTAAAACTCCCGCTTCACACACGGAGGGCCCGGGTTCGATTCCCGGCGGGTGGAAATTCTGACACGTTTCCTTACACCTATTGTCCTGTTCACCTAGCAGCAAATAGGTACCTGGGTGTTAGTCGACTGGTGTGGGTCGCATCCTGGGGGACAAGATTAAGGACCCCAATGGAAATAAGTTAGACAGTCCTCGATGACGCACTGACTTTCTTGGGTTATCCTGGGTGGCTAACCCTCCGGGGTTAAAAATCCGAACGAAATCTTATCTTATCTCTTATTATTATTGTCAAAATAAATCCGGATTTACAGCTGGAGTCGCCAGTCAACACTTCCTCCGAAACTTCTTAAATTTAACATTTTATTAATTAAATCCCTTACACTTGTGTTGAAGGCATATACTAGCAGGTTAAAAATTTATAATAGTGTATAGAAGAGTGAAGTATATTATAAGTAATGTATATAATAGATGATAGATGTTGTATATAATATTTGTATAATTAAGTGTAGATGTTGGAACACAGTGAGATCAACATCACACTTGTAAACATTGACGAGTCTCCTTTACCCTCTCATACTTGTGGCTCTCACCCGTCCACCCCTGCGGGTTTACCCCCGCTGGTGATACATATCCATCAAGGTGGATCACCCTGAAGGATCTTGATCCAAGGAACTACAGTCATCACCCTTTATTTTACATCTAAACTGACTGACCTTCATGCTGTTTGACCCCTACGGGTTTACGCTTCCCAGTGATACATATGTGAGTTTGATACATATATTCAGTGATACATATATTGAGTGTGATGCATATATTCTGAGTGTGATACATATATTCCGTGAAACATATATTCTGAGTGTGATACATATATTCTGAGTGTGATACATATATTGTGTGATACATATATTCAGTGATACATATATTCTGAGTGATACATATATTCAGTGATACATATATTCTGAGTGTGGTACATATATTCAGAGTGTGATGCATATATTCAGAGTGTGATACATATATTCTGAGTGTGATACATATATTCTGAGTGTGATATATATATTCTGAGTGTGATGCATATATTCAGTGATACATATATTCTGAGTGTGATACATATATTCTGAGTGTGATACATATATTCTGAGTGTGATACATATATTCTGAGTGTGATACATATATTCTGAGTGTGATGCATATATTCTGAGTGTGATACATATATTCTGAGTGTGATAAATATATTCTTTCTCGTGATGCATATATTCAGTGATACATATATTCTGAGTGTGGCACATATATTCAGTGATACATATATTCTGAGTGTGATACATATATTCAGTGATACATATATTCTAAGAGTGATACATATAATCTGAGTGTGATGCATATATTCAGAGTGTGATACATTTATTCTGAGTGTGATGCATATATTCAGAGTGTGATACATATATTCTGAGTGTGATACATATATTCTGAGTGTGATACACATATTCAGTGATACATATATTCTGAGTGTGATACATATATTCTGAATGTGATGCATATATTGAGTGATACATATATTCTGAGTGTGATACATATATTCCGAGTGTGATACATATATTCCGAGTGTGATACATATATTCCGAGTGTGATACATATATTCCGAGTGTGATACATATATTCTGAGTTTGATGCATATATTCTGAGTGTGATGCATATATTCTGAGTGTGATACATATATTCTGAGTGTGATGCATATATTCAGAATGATACACAAATAACCCACACATAGAAGAGAGGAGCTTACGACTTTGTAAATGATCCAAGTCGGACCCAAACGTCGTTGTAAGCTCCTCTATGTGCAGGATATTTGTGAATGAAACTTTTGTTCAGTGTGGTAAATATGCTCATATTATTAATATTAATTATTATTGTTAATTAATAGTGTCTCCTTACACCTGTTGCACCATTCACTGGAGATGTAGGTACCTGGGGGTTAGTTAACTGGTGTGGGTTGCATTCTGGGGGACAAGATTGAAGGACCACAATGGAAGTAAGACAGTCTCTCGATGATGCACTCACTTTTTTGGGTTATCCTGGGTGGCTATCCTTGGGGGTTAAAAAATTTATGTTTCCATTGTTGTACTTTAAGAGGGTTTCATGTGTCAACACCACAGCTTACTCTGTGACCAGGCCTCATGGTGGATCATTGCCTGTTTAACCAGGTTGTTGCTGTTGGCCGCATGCAAACTGACAGATGAATCACAGCCCAGTTGGTTAGGTACTGATTTTAGGTGCCTGTCCAGTGCCTTCTTGAAGACAACCAGGGATCTATTGGTAATCCCCTGATGTATTCTTGGAGGCAGGTGAACAGTCTTGGACCCCTGACATACTTGTGGCACCCCTGTATTTCACTGAGGGAATGTTGCCTTTCCTACTGAGTCTTTTGCTTTCATAGTGAGTGATTTTCGTGTGGAAATTTGGTACTAATCTCTAGGATTTTCTAGGTGTATATTATCATGTATCTTTTTCACCTGCATTCTAGGGAATACACATTAAGGGATTTCAGCTGTTCCCAGTAATTTAGGTGTTTTATCATACTTGTGTGCACTGTGAAGGTTCTCTGTATATTCTCCAGGTCAGCAATTTTGCGTACCTTGAAAGGCGCTGTTAGTGTACAGCAGTATTCCAGTCTAGAGAGAACAAGCAATTTGAAGAGAATCATCATGGGCTTGGCATCCCTAGTTTTGAAGGTTCTCTTTATCCATCTTATCATTTTTGTAGCAGATGTGGTAGATACATTATTGTGATCTTTGAAAGTGAGTTCTTCTGACATCACTTCCAGGTCCTTCACATTAGTCTTCTGCTCTAGTGTGTGGTTGGAATTTGTTTTGTACTCCGATGTAGTTTTAATTTCCTCACATTTTCCATATCAGAGTAATTAAAATTTCTCTTCATTGAGCTTCATTTTGTTTTCTGCAGCACATTTAAAGATTTGGTTGATGTCCGCTTGGAGGACACTGCCATGCAAATACAGGTTTCATCTGTAAAGAAGACATGGTGCATTGGCTTACATCCTATCTGTGTCAGATATAAAGGTGAGGAACAAGATGGGAGCGGGAACTGTGCCTTGTGGAACAGAACTTTTCACTGTAACTGCCCCAGACTTTTCTCTGTTTACTGTGTTTTATTTGTTAGGAAGTTATTATTATTAGTATTAGTATTATTATTATAATCATAATAATTTTTATTTTGACATGATACATGGTTGTACAAAGGAATATAATTTTTGGGATGCACACCCTACCAGTTTTATACAAAATTTTCAAGACAAAAAAAAATACACATGATATTGTACTCCTGTCTATCATTAATTATACTCAACCTCTGCCAGTTTTGTTTCAAACCTCTTTATGAGAACAGACAATGCAGTTATAAAAATGCAGGAGTTTCTTCATGCATCTCTTGAAAATAATGAAATCAATAGTCTTTATATTGACCTTAGGAAATTTTTTGATACAGTAGCCCACAGCATCCTGCATAGGTCATGAACTTGTATATTTTAATGGACCCCCGCTGTTCGGCAGCCACGGACTTTCGTGGAAATCCGACTTTTAGCAATTTTTTTTCGGCAAAATTTAGCTTCGTGGTTCTTTGATTGGGCTCGTGATTCGGGACCTTCTGGTACACGTCTGCCGTCAGCGCGAACACAAAGCCAGTCTCCCGAAACTATTCACATTCAGTGTGCCATTGTTTACCAGCATGTGACCATCACCCCCACGGGTTCATACAATGCTTTTCCCATAATCATTGTTTTTGTGCTTGCAACTGCTAAATAAGCCACCATGGGCCCAAAAAACCCTCCTGTGCCAGCCCTTTGGGAAGAAGGTGAGGAAAAAAATGATAGAATTCAAGAAAAAAACTCATAACAAAGTACTAAAGTAGGGGGAAGAGAGAGAGGGGAGAATGTGCCTTTTGCAGTGATTCAGTGATTCTGCAATATGTATGATACAAAGCAGAGGTACGATAAAGGCTATAGCTCCAGCCAGCAATAAAGTGTAGAATTAAAATTTTTGTAGCAAGTAAGTTAAAGCGGTAAGCGTTAGAAAAACAACATGAGAGTAACTCTCCAATGTTGTTGGATGTGTATAGGACTGCTGAACATACCGCACTGCTATTTCCACCACCCTAAACCTCTGCCACATTTTCCTCATCAAACTAACTAATTAAAAATAACATCTCTCCAAAGGGAAGTGTAAATATAAAAAGTGTAAGTATTTAAAAATAAAAATAAGTGTAAATATAAAGGGACACCAATGGAAATATGTCACTCTTGAATTTTTTGGGTTATCCCTTAAACCAACAACAACACTTACACCATTTACTCCTCTCATACGTTTTTGACATATTTTTATTCATTCTAGAGTATTATATCATGTTTCTATGTTATTAATATTGTTTATAATGTCAATTATGAATTGTGACAGATAAATTAAGCCGTGGGAGATGATGATAGCGTCATATTGAAGCATAAAATTCGTCTTCCTCTTGCCTCTACCTACCCTCCTACACCAACAAGAATCATTAAAGGTTAAGTCCCAATGTTAAATTTTCCATTTATCCATTTTATTAGTGCTTTATATTTATTTGTCATTGTTTTCTGTATGTAAATCTATATTTAATCTTTAAAAAAAATATTTTTTGTTAATACTTTTGGCTGTCTGAAACGGATTAATTGGGTTTCCATTATTTCTTATGGGGAAAATAGATTCGCAAATCGTGAATTTCGCCGTTCGGCAGACACTCTGGAACGGATTAATCACGAAACTCGGGGGTCCACTGTATAAAGTTCTACCTTAATAACAGACATCAAGGGCTTTGCACATCAGTCTGGAGTTTTACCACTCTAACTGTGGGTTGAAGCCCTGCTGGTGATATGGTTTATCAGTTGCTGAGAAATGGTTTACCAGCTAAGGTTAAAGTTTAACCCTTTGAGGGTTGACAGGCCCTCTCCAAGACTCGTTCTCAGGGTCGGCCAAATTAACCCTTTCAGGGTCCGTCCCGTAGATCTACGGCTTTATGTTCAGGGTCCAAACCGTAGATCTACGCCATGAGCTCAGCTCACTCTGATAAACTGTGAGTGGTACATTTGGGCCTAGATATGAGGAATAACATCTATGTGGTATGTGTGCACCACATAAAACAGATCCTGCAGCACACTGTTTTATAATGAGAGAAAAAAAATTAAATCATGATTTTTCGATTAAAACAGCAACTTTGCAGTGTTTTTTCGTATTTTTTTTTATAGTTGTATTTGCGATTTCTTGGTCTCATTTGATAAAAAGGGAAAGGGACTATTACAGAATAGAGATGTTTTTTGTTTGGGTTTTTTTAGCACTGGAAATGGCTTGAAACTGAGCTCAAAGTAGCAGAAATGTTAAATTTTTGCCGTTATTCAAAAAGGTAAACAAACGACCTCCACACGTCTAATACACGTCAGCTGGTGGGTCAAATATACATTCACAAATTTGGTGATGTTTTTTATACATTATTACAGTATTGCATAACAGTAAATCTTCTTTTTTTTGGTGTGAATAAAAATTCATTATGTGAATAAAAAATCAAAATGGATTTATTTGTAAAGCCTCAAAAAAAACTAATGAACGAGGAATGTTAGTTTAGTGCCGGAATGCCTACATTGTTCATTTTTGGACCCTATTTGAATTGGGAAATTTTGAACTTGTGTTAATTGGCCAAATTAACAATTTCCGATCACTTATTTTTTGTTGAAAGTTTTTACTTGGCGATTTCTTGTGCTCAATTTGATAGAATAGAAGTAATACTGTGAAATAGCTAAGAATTTGGTTGTTGGAATAATGTAATTTGGCCTTTAATGGGAGTCAAGTCGGCAAAATCGCCGATTCGTAAATATCGCTGACACATCAAAATTTGCGAGAGCATAATTTCGTCAATTTTTTCCACCAAATTTCGTTCTTTTTGTTTTATTACCTTCACAAAAAGATTCTCTAAAGATTTCATAAGAAAAAATAACAAATTTTTTTTTTTGAAAATTCTTGGACATGGTGCGTGACTCCAGATTTGGGCCTTGGCCCCTGAAAGGGTTAAAAAGAAAAAATTTTTTTTTTTTATGAAAAGATAGAGAATCTTTTCCCGATAAATAAGGACAAACCAAAGTATGAATTTGATGGAAACTTATGAATTTAAATTGCTCTCGCGAATTTTAGGGGTCTCGGCAATGTTTACGCATCAGCGATTTTGCCCATTTTGGGAGCCCCATTTTCGGCCAATTCCACTGTATAGTCAACAAAAACCCATGAATATTTCGTTTAGAACTCCATTTTTTTCTATCGAATTGGAGTGCAAGAAACCTCCATTTACCAAATTTCAGCTATCCAGTACAGTCTTCAGAATTTAGCAATTTTGCCAATTTACACAAATTTCAAAAGATGCCAATTTCCAAATAGGGCCCAGAATAAACAAGGAAAACATTCCTGTCACTAAAATGACATTTCCTCGGGTTCATTAGTCACGTCTCAAGGCCGGCCCTCTTACATTCTTTTGCTTTCCACTTTGAATTTTTTTTCAAAAAAAATAGAAGATTTACTGTTTTGCATACTACTGCATTAGTTTTAAAATGGTTATAAATAATATTGGCGCACTTGTAAAAAGAATATTTACTCACCGTTGACGTGTATTGGACGCTTGGGATGATTTGTTACTTTTGAACTTTGGTAAAAATCGAACATTTCTGCTACTTCGAGCTCAATTTAAAGGTTTACTTTTCATTGTAAAACCAGTCAAAATCATCTCAATTTCTGTAATATGTCTTCCATTCTATAAAATGAGCCCAAGAAAACTAGAATACAACAATAAATACCATACGAATATACAGTGCAAATTCGCTGTTTTATTCCAAAAAAACGGTCAAAGTTTTTTTTTTTCTCATTATGCACTGTGTGCTGCAGGATATTTTTTATACAGTGCACACTGACCAATAGATCCTTTTCTTTCATATGTGGCCTACCAGCTTTCTCCCACTAGATTTGAGGGCACTAGAATTTAGGCATACTAGTACGTCAAAAACCCTGGGTCATAAGCCGTACTAGTACGGCTGAAACCCCTAAAAGGGGTTTTAAATTAGGGGGAACTTATCGGGAAATTAAGCAGCTATCCCCCACACACCCCGCCCCTGCAGGCAAGGTCTTCAGAAGCTATCTTGACCCACTTCGCAAACGGGCTGAAATAAAGTATATTAGGTATGATTAAAAAATTTCCCCCCAGGGGGTGTTATGTCAGCATATATCAGACACTGATTGCTGATGACACTTACTTGTGTGGGGTTTATGATAAGTGACTAACTCGTAACTTATACTCAACTGCGCAGTCAAGGATTTAGTACATCTCGGTTAGTACACTTATCTGGGTATATGTATTGACCCGTAGTTATGCCCGGATATCCAAAGTGTTGATTGAAGAATAGTGTTCTTTAAAGAATATCGCACTACACTCTGTTGGATCGAAGCACTTGTTGTACACTTTTTCATCAATAAATGTTCAAAACCATAATGTCACTAAAGAAGCTGATCACACTTCTCTGTAAGTGTTTATTGAGATTCTTTTGTGCAAAAACATGCGGAACAGTGTTCTTTGTTGGTTATCCGGCACGTCAATGTCTCTCTCTCAGTAGAGTCAAAAGTAATCTGACCTCACAGCCTCCTACGCTGCTGAAAATGCCCCTAGAAAATAAAAGAAAAGCTGACCTAGTACTTTTTGTTTCCTTGCCAAACTTCCTCCATAAAGCAAAAGCAGAATGTTTGATTCTTGCTGTCTTAAGCATAGACAACAATGTACACTATCTTTACCATGGTAAAAAAAGTGGGAGCAGGATTTTCCTTAATTGTCCTGCTAAGGTAAGAGATGGACTGTCTCTCATTAAGCTACACTTTGCAACATTGGACTCTTGCAAGGAGCGGCGGTCGGCTTGACCAGTCACATACTCATTTTGCATCTGGGATCAATTTACTTGCTGTAGCAGTAGACAAGATGTTTCCCCCTTTTGAGAGGGCGGGGCCCCTCA